GACACGAGAGAAGGAAAGCCACATTCTTTCTCCAGAAAGGACCAAGTTGTCACAGCGTCTCGGTAAATGCCATTCACGGTCAAAAAGAAGTGATAATTGGCAAACAGCTTTGCTCTCTCAAGACCCCGACCGGGTTTCTAAGCGTGTTTACATCTGGTCGGCGATGCGTAGCGTTCGTCACCCGGAATGCGGATTCAAAGAGGCTCAGAAAGTAAATACAAACATTTTTATCAGTTATTGTTGATGGTATGAAGCAACTATTTGCGAGAACGGCTGATAGCTCGTTCCACGGCTCTGACTCTGATCATCGCCGCGGCTTAAGTAGTCATATTACAGGAGTTTTATGTATTTAATTATACTGGAGTTACAGCTTGTGGTCCGGGACCCAATCACTAGCTGAATGTTTCTCAGTTCGGACTCATTACAAGACATTGTTCCATAATGATGGTACAAAATTATATATTCCAGACCTTTTGTACGCTTCTGCTCATTGTTCTACTGTAATGCCACACTTGTGGATATGCACTTCTTTTTCACACACATACATACACTTGAGCATTGTTCCACCTTCCCACTGTTGAGTTTGGGTTACCATTCCGCAACTATTGGTCATTGTTCCACCATCTTACACTACTCCTGTGCATTGTTCCATCTTCCAAATTTATTACATTGTTTCACTGTATTACAACATTTTAAGACATTGTTCCAACTTGTAATTTTCCAGGACACTGTTTTGCCGTTTTCACACAGCTCTGGACAATGTTCTCTCGTTTCTACCAATTCCTAGACAACGTTCAGACATTTTTCACTGCCTCGGATAATGTTCCTCCGTTTTGCACAGCCGTGGACAGTGTCCCTCTTGAACATTGATCCAGCAGCATCCAGGGCACCAGAACCCTGGTCACTCTCCAAGATGGGCCGCGAGACCACAACGAAGTCGGGGAGAAAGTTGGTTACAACAGCTAAAGTTTTGAACGATTTAGCCGGAAGATGATGATGCTGGTCTCTGTGTGGGAGACACTTCTCAAGCCAACTGGAGCCGTGAGGCATTTATGGCGCTAGGAGGGCTTATGACGCATAGAGTAATGTTGCAGGGATGGGATGATGCAAGGAGAGTCAAAATGGTGTAGGGAGGGAGGGAGGAAATGTTGCAAGGTGGTGGTTCAAGACTATGGGGGAGCGAACAAGGTCAGCCCAAGGTTGGCACACTTTGTACAGAGCAACTGACACCGCTTGTTCCCCCCGCCCTGACCCACAGTGCCCCGCGGAGGACAAATGGCACTCTTCCTGGAGCACAAAGATGGTTGTGGTGCACGAGGAGACACCTGCGTGCCTCCTGCCTGGCCAAACATCTCACGCCAACTCATTCTTAAGACAATACAACACTTCTGAGTTATGTACACAACATACACCAGGGAGAACAACAGGGAACACTACATGACAGAAACGAGTGACTTGAAGAATCAAAGTAGAAAAACATGATGAACAACTGCACAACAAGAGAACACAAAAGACAAAAACCATGTAACAAACTGAATTTAAGAACTAAGAAACGTGAGCTACGTTGACAGATTCAAGATCCTGGGTCCTGTAGCCCAGTGGTCTTCGTCCACGGCTCACACTCGAGGGACCTGGGGTTAATCCCCGTGCTGGACAGAAACGGTTGGGCACATTTCGTTTTATCTGTGTTCACCTTGCAGCGAAACAGGTACCCGAGAATTAGGCAACTGTTGTGGGTTGCATCCTGTAGAGGGTCAGTAGCTGACCTAGAAGACTCTGGATAAGCCCATGTACAGGCTGCCTGTACCCAATAATGACAATTAAAATAATTATTTCCATATTGGAAAACAAGACAAAGATGAGAAATGATCACAACATACTAATATGCAGCAGCACACAGGCAGGAAAGAGTATTTTAAATGAGAAATTATGAGAAGTAAAGGTAGTAGGTGTAAACTACAGAGGAAAGTAAAGCAGGGATACCAGGATGTATTACCTCCCTAGCCATACATGTGGAGGGTGGGATACTTCAGTAGGTTGAGTGATAACACCTCACAAGTCATCAGTTGTATTGATGACTCCTGACGAGGCAGGACACGACAAGCACATCACTCATCCCGTAGCTACAAACAGTGTAAAGCAAACGGTAGAGGAACATAAGTTGAAGACTGGACATGATTACGACATACAAGATTTTTGAGGCATTGCAAAAGCGAATAAAAATGAAGCATAGAACGAGAGGACACAGGTGGAAGCTAATGAGCCCGAGTGATTTAAGGAAACACTTTAGTACAGTGAGTAAGTGGAACGATCGTGCTAAGATGAAGGCCCAGGAGCTAAAGCTCGCCCTGAGAACACACACACACAGTAATGGTAAACAAACAGTTTTCTCTCCTCTCTCTCTATCGCTTTCCACTCACTATCACACTCCTATTTTCCTCCAGCAGCTTCGTGTCATTTCACACAAGTAATGTCAGCCGAGGAAACATTAGCTGGCATCTGCAGCTTTACTGTAAGAAGTGAGGGACCCTGGAATCGTTTACGAATTCAATTTTCAAACACAAATGTTGGTTCGTTTCGCGGCCCGGTCGTTCATGGAAGATGGAGTGGTATTTTGAACTGCTTATTTTCCTTGGAGAGCGATAGTTTATTAATTGAGGTACGGATCTTAAATTCTCCTTTAGTTTAGAAACAACTACATTGGAGTTATCCTTTGGTGCCTGTGTTGACCCCAAAAGTTTACCCATTTATATTGTTTCATACCGACACATGTTTCACACCCACACATGTTTCACACCCACACATGTTTCACACCCACACATGTTTCACACCCACACATGTTTCACACCCACACATGTTTCACACCCACACATGTTTCACACCCACACATGTTTCACACCCACACATGTTTCACAACCACATATGTTTCACACCCACACATGTTTCACACCCACACATGGTTTCACAACCACACATGTTTCACACCCACACATAGTTTCTTGCGCCAACCTTTCCACCGTGGCGGGCAGCAATATCGGAGGCCATTAGAGGCGTGGGGATCGTCGGGGATACAGTGTGATCCTGGGAGATGTAGAGAGGTTGTCTTGCACGGTGATCTGCCAAAGCAAGATCATGATAATGCAAAGAATGACAGAAAACGTTTATTGTCAAAATAATATCCAAAGGCTCAAGGGAACTGATGCATTTCGTAGAGGCGGCGCGCTGGAGGGATTTAAGTCTCTCTCAGAGTACTGAAGAGCAGATAATGTACTTAGGATGTTAATGGTGCGAGTCCGTCATCTCTGACTGGTCGGTATATCTATAGTTTATGCAGGGTCGGCGTTCGATTCCCGATGGTCCAAATAGTTAGCCACTCTTCTTTCACGCCGTCCTCATATCCCATCTTCTATTTTGTTCTTAATATCCCTTCCAGGTACTGTATACTCAAGCTGGCTTAACGCTTCTCTTGACCGGGGTTACCGTGAGGGGCGGAGGATAGCAGCCACGGTGGCAATATCAACTTATCAGCAAATAACTTTTCATTTGTGATAGCCTGGTATGATAGCCTAGTATTGTAGCCTGTGATGATAACCTCTTATGATAGCCTGGAATGATCGCCTGGTATAATAGCCTGTGATGATAGTCTGGTATGATAGCCTGGGATGATGGTCTGGTTTGATAGCCTGGGATGATAGCCTGATATGATAGTGATATTATGATATTATCACCTTCTGGGATGATAGGATGGAAATGAAATTTAATTTAGTGGTTCGCTTCAGGCCTGCCAAGCTTGGAAGAGTAATTAGGCTTCAACTTACTGACCAAGCAGCAAGAATTCGTTTGGTCCGTATAAAGTTGTATATCCTAGATATACATTCGGATTATACACACCGGAAAGTGGTGTGTATACTTGGGTGTATATATATACAACCTGTCCTGCAAAGAACGTCGCATTTCGCTCGTATGTGTTTCATAAGGCCAAAAATTGTCGACATAGAAAATGAAAGCTGCTAGTGAAAGTGACGTACTCTCCCGTTTTCTGTTTTGGGTCCTCTGGTGGGTTAGGAGAGGACATTTTAAATTGACCATTTTCTTGACATTGAGAAACCTTAGGAGGACGGGGCTGGTATAAACACCATAGAGCGGAGTGCTCAATATTGGCATAATTTTAGAGCCAAGAAAGTTCGTGATATGGATAGAGTTCAATGCCTTTTTCCAGGGACTGAGAGCTTTCCCTCACCCTTCTGGGGGATTATCTGAAGCTGGGGATGAGCTTTCCAAACACGTTCCCCTAGTACACACACACACACACACACACACACACACACACACACACACACACACACACACACACACACACACACACAAACTAGCTAAACACAGATGCCGAAGAAATATAAGAAAATTCACTTTCGCAGAGTGGTAGACGGTTGGAACAAGTTAGGTGAGAAGGTGGTGGAGGCCAAGACCGTCAGTAGTTTCAAAGCGTTATGTGACAAAGAGTGCTGGGAAGACGGGACACCACGAGCGTAGCTCTCATCCTGTAACTACACTTAGGTAATTACACACACACACACACACACACACACACACACACACACACACACTCTATCTCTCTTTCTCTCATTTATTTCATAAACCTGCAAGGAATTTATCATTGAAAAAACCAGCATTTCTGACAAACGAACATTTTTCCTTCGTGATTCAGATTTCGGCGTCCTGGAGAGTGTGTTGTTAGATAATCCAAGTGTTCACGAACGCCTCTGTTGATCAACGATACTTTTGGCCACCTCGTAAGACACACATAAACCTCGTCTGTATTTGATACACTTTAATGGGTTAGAATAGAGGAATCAACGTTTGTATTTCGTTGTATTGCTACCAGATGGATAATAATATGAGCTGCCTCACATGGGCAGACAAGAGCTGCTTAGTAATTACTAAACATTAGCTATACTACCACCCGCTAAACATTTGATTTCTCACCACAGGCACCAGCCTCCGCCGCCTTCACACACCTGCAGGATGTTGACCTCAGGAGTGGAGTGTGTGGGTGATGGGGGTGGTGGGTATTAGTGAGGGTTGCCCCCACCTCCCATCCCCCCCTGTATAAGTTATCAGGGAGGAGACCTGGTCCCCCCTATACCATAGCTGGTGGAGCCGGATGGATGGATGTGTGGCGATGACAGACACCATACTCACTGTGACGTGTGAGGGCAATGTGTCCTGTACCGATCTCCCCTACCAGCCAGGGGCAACTATCGTCTCCCCCATTATCCTGTCCCTCAGTGGAGTCGTTGGTGAGTATAGCTACTGTCTTGTCCCTCACGACCACCTGTCCATCACAGGGGCCGAAGGTGAGTGTTACCTCAAAGTCTTCTCACAAGGGTGATAGCCAACGTGCTCAGGCCTTACTTCATACGTTATTTGCCGCCACTAACGACACCTTTTTTACTAATGGCTAATGTCTTTTCTCTCCTCCATCTCTCCGTCCTGGAAAAGTATTTCGAGTCATATTCTGGACTCCAGGCCAAGTTTTTTTTTCAGAGGCGCTAGTCGCTAGAGTGCCTTCATGAGTGCCTCTGTAAACCTTTATGTCATCTTGCATCTCTCTCTCTCTCTCTCTCTCTCTCTCTCTCTCTCTCTCTCTCTCTCTCTCTCTCTCTCTCTCTCTCTCTCTCTCTCTCTCTCTCTCTCTCTCTCTCTCTCTCTCTCTCTCATTGTGCAATTACCTGTTATTATCATCTCATGTGTACCGCATTATATGATATTGTACACATTAACATGTGTGCAACATTTTCTCTCCAAGGTAAATATTGAGCTGCTCCTGTGCCCACCCCACAGGTCAGATCTGGGCACTGTACTACCTGTACACCAGCACGCGGCCCCAGCACTCCCGCACCGTGTTCTTCCTGCTGCTGAGCACCCTCATCTGGACTGACCTGGCTGGCAAGATCATCACCACCACCCCGGCGCTGGTCGCCTACCTTCACCACACCTGGGCTGGCGGGGTCAGTCTTCCTTCGTCCGGTCTGTGTCCCAGAAATATAACCAGTGAACAAATCCACAAAGGCCGTGACGAGGATTCGAACCTGCGTCCGGGAGCATCCCAGACACTGCCTTAATCGACTGAGCTACGATTGAGCTACGAGGCAGTGTCTGGGATGCTCCCGGACGCAGGTTCGAATCCTCGTCACGGCCCTTGTGGATTTGTTCATTTGATGCATCACGTTAGTGTGATCGCTGTGTGTAATATAACCAGTGTTTGTGTGTGTCTGTTAGCTTCTGTGGATCTGTTAAATCTCTCTCAGTGTGAGACTATCAAAATCCTCAGATTAGGCAAAATTGTAATTAATTTTGTCAATAAAGATGTTAATAATAAATAAAGTGTGTGAATGTGAGTTTATCGCAACACCGCCTGAACGGCTTTGCAGATTTTGATGATAATTATATAATTGCCTTAGAGTAATATTTGTAGGGTTTGAATAGTTGATGGGGACCAATCAGGAAGCGAGACTCCTTACTAAGACGGCAGCTTTAGTTTTGGGGGAACCTGTCAGTGGTCCTTTTATATCATTAAATGAAAATTTGGATAGTCTATCGTTTTTCGGCTTGTATTATTTTATATGTTTTTTAAAGCCTCGTGTTTAGAGGGTAGAGAAGACTTGTGTGTTAGTGTTATACCACAGCTATTGAGAAGGCTACTCTGGGACATTGTTGGGGTGATCTCAACCATCCTCTTGAACTGCTCGGTAGTGCGACGACTTTACTTCTTTCAGGTCAGCGTTCGAGCCCCGACTGTCCAAGAGGCTAGGAACTATTCCTTCCCTCCGTCCTCACATCCCAGCTCCTATCCTTTCCTCACATCCCTTCCATGTCTATATACTGACTTAGTGAGCTTTCTTGATAATTGTATTATTTTGTCAGCCTTCGGTAAACACCGAGGAGTCAATTACAGGAACATTCCTGTGATTCCTCAGTGGATCTGTTGTGTATCAGGTCGCTGATAACGTTCTTTGATTTGAGTGTCTTTTATCATTATTTAAGATAACTACAATGAAGGTGAAGCAGATCACCTTCATTGTGCTAGGTTAACCTAGCAACCTGTAACCTAGCACATAAATTGTGCTAGGTTACACAATTTATGTGTAAGTGTATTAATAAAACAATTGTTTAAATTTAGTTACAAACGCTATGGCATTGTAGTAAATTTCTCCATAGCTACTAATGTTTTTTATGGAGTGTGTGATCCAGTTCACAGCCCTACACATACACCACCGCCTCCCCTGCCCGCTACCACCACAACACCTAACACTGTCTTCTGCCGTGTGTAACACCTGTGTATACCCGTGACAGGTGCCAATGTGTAACCTACACGGGTTCTCCATGATGCTGGTGAGCCTGGTGACCCATCTGCTGGTGTCCACCATGGCTGTCGAGAGGTTCCTGGGCATCCGACACGGGTACTTTTATAACAAGAACATCACCACCTCCAGGACCAAGTGAGTGCTTCACCCTTCATGTAATACACCTCATCCGGACCTGACCAAGTATCTCTACGTCAGTTTCTGTCTTATTGTTAATGAATATTCGTACGCGAGGTTTACGGGCTATTCGTGCCCGTGCCCCGGTTGGCTTAATCTTAATCAGTACGCGAGGCATTAGTTGTAGTGTTGTAGTGAAGTAGTGTTGTATTATCTAAGTTGTAGTGAAGTCTGCAAGTTCACCCATAGTCGGTGGGTGAAGTTGTAGATAACTGGCTGTCAATTAGTCCCTATGCTTGCACCCACAGGCTGGTGTTGCTGTGTATGTGGGTGTTCTCGGTGGTGTTCTGCGCCCTGCCACTGTTCGGTGTGGGCCAGTACGCCCTGCAGTACCCCGGGTCGTGGTGCTACGTCAACATCCACGTCACCGCTGCTGACCCTCTTCTTCACCGCCTCTATACCAACCTCTTCGGCGCCTTCACTCTCCTCAGTCTCCTGGTTATGGTCACCTGCAACGTTGTTGTTATTAGTGAGTAACTCTCTCTATCTCTGTCTGTCTGTCTGTCTCTCTCTCTCTCTCTCTCTCTCTCTCTCTCTCTCTCTCTCTCTCTCTCTCTCTCTCTCTCTCTCTCTCTCTCTCTCTCTCTCTCTCTCTTTCTCTCTCTCTCTCTTTCTCTCTCTCTCTCTCTCTCTCTCTCTCTCTCTCTCTCTCTCTCTCTCTCTCTCTCTCTCTCTCTCTCTCTCTCTCTCTCTCTCTCTCTCACACACTCTCACTTCTCTCAGCTGTGTTACCAGCCACATCAAGAGGTAAAGTAACTACCTAAGACCACAATGTTCCTTGAACAGCATAACAACTCCTCAGGGGTGCAATTACCACATTAACTACCAGTAAATTATGGCAATAATTAAACAGAGACATCACACATGATGACGTAATTGCTTCCTCAGCACACGATCTTGATAAATAACATTTATAAATGAACTTTGCAGTCCTGTAATGAACTTGCTAACGATGTCAATGTTTACCATGCAGTCGCCTTGCTGGATAAAGCGCAGGATAGCGTTGATCGCGGCGTCTGCCTCGGTAAGTAAGCACAGAACTACCTTGGAGTAACTAGGTGCTTCACATGCTTAGAATTCACTTTCAACTGTGCTGTGATTAGACGAAATTGAAGGCTAATTGAAACATAAATTTCTGATTTCAATTATTTGCGTGGCTTGGAAATGGATTTGGCGAAATTATTTGGGAAGTTTATGGGTTTGTGTTTTTGAAAGTGATTGGTGATAATGGAGGGAAAATGTGTGCTTTATGTGTTTGTGCTTCAAGATCACAGCGCGGGGGCTTGGGTAGTTGATGTGGTTGTTCTTGTGGTGGTTGTTCTTGTGGTGGTTGTTCTTGTGGTGGTTGTTCCCCCCCCGTCTCTCTCTCTCTCTCTCTCTCTCTCTCTCTCTCTCTCTCTCTCTCTCTCTCTCTCTCTCTCTCTCTCTCTCTCTCTCTCTCTCTTAAAATTAAATAATATTTGTGTTTTGAAGCTTTAATGAATGTTTGAATCTAATGTGAAAGATCACCTGCAGTCCTGTTTATTATTAAATAGCTCAGTGTCATAATGTGAGGACCCAACAGACTGTGATGGGTGGCAGCTGTCCCCAGCAAGCTGACTCAACAGACTGTGATGTGAGTGATGAGGTAACGACATTTCCCCCCACAGCCACGCTGCTGTGCCTGCGGCTGTGTAGAGGAGGGTGCTGCAACCACAGCCGCTGTGCCCCGCACCGTTCCTCCCGGCAGCGGGAGCTGGAGATGCAGATGGTAGTCGTCCTCGTGGTCATCACTGTCGTCTTCGTCCTCTCCTGGACCCCCATTGACGTGAGTACTCGTCCTCCCCCTCTCTCGCCAGGCGATGTTGTCCGTCTTGTATGTAGATGTCTCTTGTTATAAGTTGCCATTTCCTGAAGTCCTGTATCTAGTTCTTCCCCCCTTTTCCCTTATCTCCCTTGAACCCCACTACCTTCCCCCTGCTGCCCCCAGGGGATCTCACTCACCTGGTCACCCTCAGGTGCGGCTGTTCGTCAACCAGGTGTGGCCTCACACAACCAGGGAGGACCACTACCAGGACCTGGTAGCTGTCAGACTCACCTCATTCAACCAGATCGTCGACCCCTGGGTCTATATCATCTGTAGGAAGGTACGTCTGTCTGTCTGTCTCTCTCTCGTTATCCTACTGACTCTCTTGTTGTCTGTCTCTCTCTCTCGTTATCCTACTGACTCTCTTGTTGTCTGTCTCTCTCTCTCGTTATCCTATTGACTCTCTTGTTGTCTTTCTCTCTCTCGTTATCCTATTGACTCTCTTGTTGTCTGTCACTGTTGCTTAGTCTTCTGTTATCTTACCCTCCAGGCGTGTCAACTTACCCACTACACCTCTCCAGCTCCACTTGATCTTCACGCCAACATCAACAGTCTCATTAAACTTCGCTTTAGAAACAACATTAACATTTCCTTCTAGTTTTATTTTGCACATTTGTGTTTTTTTAGGGGTATCCACCTCTGGTGTTGGTTGGGACCCTCGGCCTCGAAGAGGATATGTAGCATCTGGGGAAGCCTTGAGGGCTCCCATGTACTCTCACATATTGTCTTCAATCACCATTCTCTATATATTTGTAATTTGTAATTTTATTTTAAATAAAACGCAATTACACAACTTTGGTGACAAGTTTGGTTTCTTATTTGTCAAAAAATTCTTCAGTAATTTGTCTTTCAGTTTTGCATGAATAAACCATAACCATAATTTTATTTATCTTTATCATTCAAATAATTAAACCAAATAATGAACATTGTATTTTTAATGCTCAGTCATTCTGCTGAAAGAATAATGTTGAAATCTGATTTAAAATTACAGTATTGTGTTTTTATTTTTTTTCCAGGTTTGACACTACATTTTAATATATTTCTGAAAAGATACTTCTTTTCTATCTCTTCATTTAATATGTCTGTCTACATGACAAAACTGATATCTCCCAGTTTAACATTCTGCTAATCCGGAAGTCAACACTTATTCATATTCTTGTGATCTCAAAAACACCTGCTATTGCTGTGAACAAGTACACATAATTGGTTCATTGTATTTGTAATACAGCGTATATTTTCATTATAAAGTCCCAGCTCTGTTGACAGGTTTAAGCTTTCCACTCCCAACACACACACAATCCTTAGCAGTTAAGTCCGTGTAGTTGTTTCAAATATCCTCTCCACTAATGCCCGCCAATATTTCCACCTCTGTCTTAGATAAATGCACCGCATCCATAACAGCATTTGAAAATTTAATATAATTTGTCCCAGCTTTATGTTAGACCTGACACACTGGAGGGCCACATCCAACTGAACTTCAGAACTTTGGGACGCAATGCTCCAGAGGTCACTTTCATGGGACGTAACGCCCCAGAGGTTACTTTCATGGGACGCAACGCCCCAGAGGTCACTTTCATGGGACGCAACGCCCCAGAGATCACTTTCATGGAACGCAACGCCCCAGAGGTCACTTACTCTGTAGTTTGTGGCTGAAATTTAGGCACCAGATGAGAGTTTTGGTGAAAGTAGGTTACACCTTCGATGTCCGCCTTCTCCTATGGAAGTTTCACCTTCCTAAATAATAACTTTGCTCTTTACCTTCCCATTTTCTTTCTTCCTTACATCACCCTCCCTACATTTCTCTTCCTCGTGTCCACTGGTACTCATCCCAGGTGTTTATGATGCGGACATGGAGGTGGCTGCGGGTGTCGTTCTTCGGTTCTCGACTTGTGGCAGGTCGGGGAAACTCAAACCTCCACACACCCTCTCACACCAAGCTGGCTCCGGACACCAAGCTGGCTTTCAATACGAAGGTGGCTCTCCCCCTTCCTACCAGACCTTCTTTCAAGATGATACGGTACCAGATGCCTCTCAAAGGTGAGCATGGTGATGGCTAGTCGTACCTGACCTTCAGATGGCCCACTGATTAGACATGTTTAAATCTGAGAGGTAGAGTTTTGATAGTTCCCTATACGTGTTGTTTTCAGCCAATTGAAGACTTGAAAAGTAGTAGTCTGTGTGTATATGTTGGGAGGAAAGGAGAGACACTTAGACGTAGACAACAAATAACTTTTAAAGACAGATGTATTTGAACACCCTTCAGGTGAGGACGACTTGGGAAATATTGGTCGACGAGGAGTCCCAGTCGTGATCGAACTTGGTGTTGGAGACGAAGGCGTTGACGAGCTGGCCACGCCACCTCCATCACCACCACGCTCCAAGGACACTCTCACCAGGGTGCTGCAGGCCAAGGAGGTCGTGGAGATCTTCACAGATTCTGGCACTGCTTCCAAGAACACTCCGACGTCCCACTGTGGTGACTCAGGTCCCACCAAGACCCATAAACACTACCTCGGTGGGTTCGGACGTTATTCTCCTGTTGAATAACATTACTTTCACACACTTGTATACTGACTGTGACCTTAGCTAATGCAAGTTTGCTCATTATAGGGCAGGGAAGCCAGCATAGCGTGTTGAGTGGGTCGAAACGTTCTGCTAGACTTGTTGGCATGATAGAATTTAGGCCTGAAGCATAGCACTTAGGCTGATTGATCAGTTCATTGCAAACAATGCAGTTGTTTAGTAGTCCAATAGTCAGGAAATCCAGTATTCCAATAGCACAATGGTGCACATTTGTTGACCCTGGGTAGTGTTATTTTCTCATTGTTCATGCCTGCACAGTATTGAAAATGACTCAGAGTCCTCCTCAAACATTGCGCTGATATTTACCTCAGACAGCTTAGGGAAGACGCCTTGAAGGTACTAGACGGCTGTCGACTCCTTATCTAGGGCTGTGACATTGTTTCGTAAGTCGCCAGTCTTCTGATAGCTTCAAGGCTGCTTCCCTAAGTTGTACAGTATTTTACATAAATATATATATATTGATGGCATATTTTCCCTGGAAATATCATAAAATAATATTACCAGGGAAAAGAGTTGTTACACAATGTAATCGAACATCGTAAAATCATGCGAAATTGATCTTCGTTTGCATTAGTACTCCCTTCTTTTCTCGCAGGTGGAGGCCGAGCCACACCGGCGTCACCTGTTGTACTGTGTAGGAGACACTCTTGGGGTTGTGTCCAGGACGCGAGCACCGCTAAGCGCTACCGCACCCAGAGCACCCAGACCTTCACAGACAGGGGCAGACCACCCACCACTGATGCCTGTGGCAACCACTACCACAACCATGACTACTCCCAGCAGCATACAACTGAAGACAACTCCCGCAGCCACGACCACCAACGAAACCAAGGCGCCCCACGTCACCTCCAGGAGCACTCCGTCTCCTACTACACCCGTCTTCCAGAGTTCTGTCCCGATCCGTACCTCGATGTTTACACGAACGACGAGGATGACTCAGTGTTCATAATGACCAGTGACTTTACCCCTTTGAAAACTGTCCCCAGTGACCTTACCAACAAAACTAACGGTGTGTTTACATTCATCAGTCATCCGGGAGCTGTGAAAAACACAGAGCCACAAGATCTTTGCTAACACACATTCTTCTGAATCACCAAACAGATCTAGACTTAACTCAAAATACACATGTTAGCAACAGCCTATCCTGAATACAACGATCACCACATACTGAAAATACATATAATTGCCAACGTTGTGAATGATTACAAAATTCATTTAATTCGTACGAGGAGGAACGGTTGTTGCTTAGAATGGATTTATTCCCGTTGTTTGCAAGTCAGCTGAGTCAGGATTCACATTTATTAAACAGTTTGCGAGCTTGGAAACTTCACAACCCATGGTACAGACAACCTCGTAGTTGACCAAACCACACACTAGAAAGTGAAGGGACGATGACATTTCGGTCCGTCCTGGACCGTTCTCAAGTCAGTTGAGGACTTGAGTCGTTTCGGTCCAGGACGGACCGAAACGTCTAAGTCCCTTCACTTTCTAGTGTATGTTTTGCTCAACATATTTCAGCCACGTTATTGTGACTCCTCGATTGCATCCTCGTAGTGTTTCGATGCTCATAAACTGCTTAGTAAATGTAAACAAAGTAGTGGTGATTGAGTAAGATGTACAGGTTTCGTAAGTGCTTGATGACTCGGGTCCTGGTTGGTGATATACGCATGACTCACCACATTCTCAAGCCAAAGTCATCAACCCTGTGGCGGGACCTACTTCGAATTTTCTTAATATTTCCATATTGTGCAATAAATAATAATTTTAAATAAATAATAAATAATTTAGTTATAATAATTTATAAATGATAAACAAATAAATACTTTTTCATATATAAATGATTTATTGTATATAGTCCAAGGTTACGCTAATTTAGGTGTATTGGTTTTATTGACGATAATTTTACACTCTGACCCCATTCTTTGTCTGGGTGTCCACGTTGCGACCGATCCCACAGACGCTTTCACAGATTTTAACATTCTGTGTAATTAAAAGCAACATTTTCTCAAATATAAATTAACATTATAATAAACTATAATTTTGTGCACATTTAGCCCTAGGTTAGGCGTTTGGGTTCTGTTGGCAATTAGCTGTATTTGTAGTACATGGTTGAAGCATTTAAGGCGATTGAAATACACAAGGAGAGTGAATCACTGTTGAAGTAAAGCTAGAATATAATTAGGTGAGACACATGTGTAAAGTGTTTTACGTTTATAAACAGCGGGTTTGGTGGATTGGCTAACGAGCAGTTGGTCATTGTTTAAAGTGTATTCTGTTCACAGAAACTGTTGTATGTAAGAGTCCTGTTTGAGACTGTCCTCGTTAACAGACATCTCACAGGAATATGTAGAGTTCTTGACGACTATCTCTCCAATATTTGTATATTAAAAGTGCGCATATTAAAAATAAAAAAAATAAATTGCGACTGAAATGAAAACATCAGAGGAACTCCTCATGTGTAAAATTAAAGAAAAAACTTTCAGAATATTAAAATGCAATTATTTTGTATTTTTATTGATACAATCTTAAATTTCGCAATACTTTACAAAAGCATTTTAGAGCAGTAACTAATGAAGCTTCTACGAAATAACACATCAATAAGAAGTTTTGTAACTTTTTGTTCTGCTTTTTGTAACTCAAAGAAGTTTGTAACAAGTGAATAAGTTCAGCTTGTTCAGTTCAGTTAAAAAAAGTTAAATTACGCTGTGAATATAAACAATGACAACAAATTGGGAAGGCATTAAACAAGTGATTGATTGATATGTTGTGTTGAGGTCTGGTCTCGCCACACTGGTACCAACACTCCTCACCCCACCGACCCTGAGAGGTTTCAAGCTCGTAGAGTTCTGGCTACACTGTGTGAGAGACTAGGCGAGTTCTGGCTACACTGGCAGTTACGCCAGCTGAAGCCTCGGCTAACGTTTTACAGAGGTATTTCGTCAGCCCAAAATGTTTAATGTTCAGAAAGCATACCAAAGTTTAGGGAAACTAACATCATATGTTTACCCCATCCTAGGCTAGCCTGACCTAATGTGTGTGTGTTGGGGTGTTAATTGTTTCAGTCCCCCCCCTCTTTTTGCAACATTCTCTGTATAATCTAATCTAATCCAGCTTAACCTAACCTTGCCTAACTTATCCTAGCCTAACTCAGCTACAGAGTCTTTTGTAAAAATAATGAAATAAAGCATACTTAACAGAGCTCTTGTCTAATATAACCCAAGCCTACCTAAATTTAATGATGCTTACCTAGGTAAACCAACCCTAGATTGCAATTGCAACCCTAATTGCAATGCTGCAATTATCTCACCGAGCCTAATCTAACCAAGCGTATGCCTTCATATATTATTTAGAATTATCCATGTAATAACTATAAAATCCTTAATGAAATTAACTCGCATAAACCAAAGCTTGCAAGTTTTCCATGTAACTAAGTTGAAATGGATAGGTATATAATAAGTTACTCTTTCATGTATTACATTTTGCTGGATATTTTTGTCTAAAATATAATACCAGAGTTGTTTATACAAATGTGGCTCACTTCTCGGTGTATATACCCAGTTTATTTAAGCCCCTATACCTATGTTCAGGACTAAAGTATACTTACTAGTTGGTCAATAAGCAATTTATTATAACAAAACACTTCCCCCCGTAATAAATACTAAAAAGAGTAATTCGGGTAGTTCCGATAGTTGTCACTAGGTGGCGAACGTGATCTTTTGTTTACCTCCCGCAAGGTGCGGGGTAAGTGCTTCCTCAAGGTGCGGGGTGAGTGCTTCCTCAAGGTGCGGGGTGAGTGCTTCCTCAAGGTGCGGGGTGAGTGCTTCCTCAAGGTGCGTGGTCAGTGCTTCCTCAGTGTGGTGTCGTCCGTCACGAGGAAGGGATGCGTCACCTCGCGTTATAACCCGTCCATCCTCAGTTCCCGTCACCTATAATTACAGGCCACGTTGACGATTGATCTACCAACATTCAGGTATCATTAACCCAGTTCTCCTTTTTATTAATGTGGCCAAATTGTGTAGACTGGTATGTATGTATGTATGTATATGACTGAGATACAAACGCATATAAAATGAACTCTGCTTATGCAATATAGTGATATTCCTTTACTAATCGGATAGTTATGCATAATACATCTGTATAGTCATTTATTGGAAGAGGATATATATACATCTTTCACAACGCCGGTAATACTTGTCAATGGAATAATTTTTAACAGTTCAACTGTACGAAGTCATTTTCTTCGGTTGACTGATATAAGGTGGATAAACCCATTATATAAACCAATGTGAGAGGCTTTAATAACCCTGAAGTAACCCACCGGAGCATGAATCAATATAACACTCTCTGGGTCGGGAACCACCACCTCTCAACACTGTGGTAACGATACATTGCCCATACATTAGTTCTCCCAGAAGCCTAAACTGCCTAGGAATAATCTGTTGCAAACGATCTCCAGCGATTGTAAACACTGTATACATAGCTGGGGATAGGCTGTATTGCCTTAGGATAGGCTGTATTGCCTTAGGATAGGTTGTATTGTTTTAGGATAGGTTGTATTGTTTTAGGATAGGTTGTATTGGTTTAGGATAGGCTGTATTGCTTCAGGATAGGCTGTATTGCTTTAGGATAGGCTGTATTGCCTTAAGCTGTGTAAGTGTGTAAGTCTTTGGGTAGGCTAAGGTGAAGCATGTTTTGCGAACCGTCTTATGTACTGTCACTTGTATCTCAGTCTTACTTATGCAAACTCTGAGTAATATTAGCGGTACATTAGTAATAGCTCTCTACCACAAAATATTTTAAATTCTATCATTTGGCAACCATCTTAGGTACTCGGTCAGTCAAGTATTCCGCCAACATTTCCCGTAAGTCAGGTGGAATAATGCTTGTAATGTAGGATATTGAATACAACAAAATTATCGGCTTGCACCACAGATAAATTAGTAAACCTCTTTACTATGAAAGAGTGTGTAAATTTTTAATTTTTAGCATGTCAACAAGAAATTAATTAACAATTGCTCATATTAGTAAAGATATTAGGTCACACTGAGAATAAGAATTAAGAAAATAGTAGAAAGAGAAGAGATGTGATACTAGTAAAATACATATAAATAGCCCTAAAAAGCTCAGTATTACAAGCGGCATAAATTTAAACCTTCAGATATTTGGGTTAGGCTAGGCACACCTGAACACCAAACTCAAATTATTATTTCCTGCGACAAAAATATTTCATATTTCTTAACATGACAATGTGAAGGTACTGATTAGCAGCACAAGTCACCAATGACATAGCTAAGAATAATATTGGCACAATGTAGCATGTATAACCGTCTCTTGACAACTACACCGTAGCCATCTGACAAAGACTGATGCTATAAAAGTTGACATTGTAAGAACGGGTAGGAATGGAAAGAGAATGGAAGTACCAGGGTGAAGCATTAGGAAAGAGTAGAAGTGGAAGTGAGGGATGGAAATGAGAGGGAAGAGGGGGATCAAAATAGAATAAGGTGGGAATAAAAAATGGGTCAAAATTAGAGGAAACGAAATGCCTATATCTAAGGGCCCTGTGGGAGATAAAGAGTTCATTAACGTGAACCCGGTAACCCCCCTTCTTGGAAACTAACTCTCCCAGTGGAACCTATTGCCCCTATGGATCCTGTCGTTATCCGCAGAATTTGTCGCCTCCCGTGTATTAGTCGTCTCCTCCTCAGCTGTGGTATATATACCATGACCTCGACCACCACGGCTACACATTACATTTCCAAAGGGACCAGCAAGTCGTCGAAGCGCTAATGTGATGGCAGTAAATGGCGGCACCCTTTAGCAGTGCGAATTAACAGCTTTCATTATGCTTGCAACCGGAAGTAATAGCATGTAAAGCAATACTAAATGAAATATGGGCCAGACAATATTTTTTAATACCTCTGTTTCAAGCTGCGACGACTGGCCGTGTGGGGATCGTTGCTAACAGTCACATTAGCCCAAATGAGCGAGGTGATATATTTTCATCTTTTATGCCGAGGGCCAATCATCAGACACCCGCGCATCCCAGACACTTGATGCCAATTTTTTCCGTAGTGTTGCATACGTTGTTGCGAAATTTGAGTATTCAGTGGCACCTGGTGTCTGCTTGATGGACATCGTACCTTTGTTGGGGCTTATTGAACCCGCTCGAGCTGTTGTACCTTGCACGGAAATTTTGATGCAGTTCTCATTTTTTATTTCAAACTAAAGAACTCAGTTGTGGGGAAAGTCAGTTATGCGGAAGACTGAGTTTGAGAGTTTTGCTCATGTCGGTGCAATAGACAGGCTGATAATGTGAAATTAAGCGGAGATGACTTGCAATATAATGCTAGGCTTTTTCGAAGAGCGGGGCCACGTGTT